GGGTGGAACGGCGGGTACTCTGAATATTTCCACTGGACATGCCTCGGCAGGATAATATCCTTCGTATATTATTTGGATGCCAAATGTGTGGATATCTGGAAATAAAATTGCGGATCATAGGATTTTGCGTGCGACAGTGGAACAGCTCAAATATGAAAGATTATACGCGATGGATATAATCAAGTATTCAACTAGACCACTCTACGGGACTGTGGCTCAGCATCGTCTAGTTGAATACTTGCAATGATACTTGCTAAACTTGCTTATTCATCGCGTATATAATCTTTCATATTTGATCTGTTCCACTGTGCATGAAAAAACCTATGGTCCGCAATTTTATTTTCAGATCGGTATATGGAATGCTAATGTATAATTGGGGAGAATTCAGAACTCCTAATTCGTATTTTGCAGTAGATAAAATCGAGCTCAAAATGTGATACACAATTGTCCAATTCAGACCAAGGTAGATACAGTGTGTCCCACTTTAAACAGCATCACCTTCGTATTTTCGTATACACTGACCGACTTCAAGAGTTTTTTTTCAACATGTACTACTCAATGATATCTACATTCCTGAATATTGAACTCTCTCATTTCTTTTCAACACATTTTCTATGAACAAATAAAAATGCAGAAAATCAGTAAGTAATAGCAGGAAATTTTTTAGCGGAAATCTGACTACAACTCTCTAAAATACATGTGGTCAAATTTTCACAATGATATCATATACAGGGCATTATTTATTATTATAATAAACGTTCGATGTTCTACTATATGATCAGAAAAAATATAATAATTTCATGATTCCTTTGAATACCAATTGAACACATATTTTTTACTATTTCTGATCATATACAGTGTGTTGTTTATACTAGGAATCAATTATTTCTCAAATTCACAAATTAGGTCGTTGAAGATGTATAGAACAATGGAAATATTTTGATTCGCAGAAAATTTGCGTTAGGAAATTGTCTACCCATAGAAAAGGTTAGGCAGGTTACATTTTCAGTTCAAGCAATATTTCTAGAGTCTCCTCGAAAATGAAATGATATAGTCTTTGCAAAGTCACTTGTGACAACTTGATCAGAAGAGATCCGCCATCACGATGTTTTTTTGCTGTATATGTCTAGAGTGAATTTGCAAAGACTATAATAATACTTATATATTTTCACACCTACTTCCCGTTTTTGTTTTCTATAAAAATGGATTCACCATTATGTTTCTCTACAAATTATTGATTAGAGAAATATTTATTGACTTTGAACAGATTTTCTTCGAATTTTCTTTAATTGATGTCTTGTCTCAGTTATTCGGTCAGAAAATATCATCTTATGGAGGCAAATAATTCTGATATCATGATCTGCTACTCCAAATCAGTAGCACATCACACGGAAAAAAAGGATTTGTTGCATCAACAAATTATTTATGCTTGAGTTATTTTTGTTTGACTGGGCAATTTTTTGTTGAATCAACTAGATACATGATTATTCCATGGAAGCAGCTTGTTCAAATCAAGAATGTAGGCTAATTGAATCAACAGTATAATATCAATTCCATCAACAAAATATATGGTTTGTTCAAAAACAAATTATGTCGATCCAAAATAATGTCGATGTTGATTCAACTATAAACATTTCGTTGATTTGATGATGAGATTATATCTTCGAAACAACATACAAGTTTTCTTATTTCGATGTAGCAATAAACTCGTTTCGAACGGATCATTTGCTTGAATAGAGCAACGAAATATGAAAAATCAATGAAATATTTTGTTCATTCTTCATCAACTTAAATTTTCGCCTCAAGATGGCGATCATTTCGCCTCGTCTATGCCTGCCTCGAATTCATTATATACGCCGTGAAGCCTGATTCTTCGTGTTTGAAATATCAGCTGATGGATAAATCGAAATTAGGATGATTAGCAATCCGAAATAGTTTTCCATCAGCTAAGGAGAAGTAGAGACTTGAGATCTATTCTGGGAGTCGACTAGTTTCCTAGTTTTGTTTATTCTATTGATATTGATGTGTAATTTCAGAACTTCCGAATATTGAATTTGGTTCAACAAAACAATTCATCGAATGGATATATAGTTTCTCTTGAATCAACAAAATATTTCATTGAATTAACCAAATATTTAATTGAATCAACCAAGTATTTTATTGAATCAAGCGAATATTTCTTTGAATCAACCAAATATTTCGTTGAATCAACTAAATATTTGATTGAATCAATATCTTGTTATTTTGAATCAAACACAATGATTGTTTGAGCCAATTCAATATCTCTTAAAAAACAATGCATGATGGATGTGCTTGATCGAAGAAGATCCAGAGTTCATGCAAGACATATTTACTTGATTCAAACTTCAAATTCGCTATGAAACAAGATATAGATTTACTCATTTCAAGATTATATTTTGTCGTGCATATATGACACTTTTATTCGCTCCATTCAATTAAATTTTGCTTGATTCAACAATTCCTTTTTTTCCGTGCAGTATTTTTTTTCTGTACAAGCACTGTTTGTCATAATATAATATCAAATTGAATATTTTTTCTTTCGATATAGGGTTTACGAAATATTTGCTCGGATATGAAGAGTGTCACCTCAGTGAAATTTATCAACAAATCAATAAAAATATAAATAACAGTATCTGATGATTCACCTATTTATTTGATTGATATATCTTTTTATTGAAATTGTCACTAGTGAAACGCCGTCGGCATACAAAAAAATACTCAAAGTATTGGTCCATATTTTCAAAAACAGTTTATAGGAACCCTACAATATATAAATCTCAGTAATTAATCGCCAGTTAATCAATTAATGATACAATAGTCCGTGGGCACGAGCAGTTATTTCGAGGAAATCACGACAGAAGTCGTTACGATTTTTTTGAGAAGAAGTGTACATACCTATTGCTATCTCGGTTATTATAAGAGCCACAAAGTATTTCAAATGGGCAATGTTTCTCAGAATTCTATAACCATCTCAGAACTACCATCAGATTTTTTCGATAGTTTTTTGTTTTTCAAATAATCGAGAAAAACCAATATGTTGCGTTTTGACCATCCCCTGTATCTCCGTTAGTTGAAAACTCACGGCATTCATATTCCTTTCAAAAATGTATCACTATAACATATCATATTCTTCTGAACGAATACATCAGAAATAAACGAATCTGAAAATTTCCATAAAAAAAACAATGCTATTGTCATTAGGTATCTCGAAAACGTAGGAAGATATTTCATTGTTCTATTTTCATTCAAAAGTTCTTGAAAAAGTGCTCACGAAATGTCTGAGCCAGAATGCCGTAAGTTTTCAAATAACAGAGATACAGGGGATTGTCAAAAACGCACCACTTTGGTTTTTCGCAATTATTTCAAAAACAGAAAATGATCGAAAAAATCTGATGGCAATTCTGAAATAGTAATTCTAATTCTGAGAAACATTGCTCATTTGAACGACTGTGTAGCTCTTATAATAACCGAGATAGCAATACATACAGCACCAATCTGGGACACAGTGTATAGCAAAACTGGTCATTCTAACGAATGGCTGAGTTTCTGGAATGTAAATAGCGTTTTATTTCACCCTAAAATGCCCTATGCTTTCAATTTTATAACCGTTACCACCCGTACTGACCCTGACCACCGCGCCCAAGTGATTCTAAAAATAGATAAGATGAGATAAGTAAAATGAAAATAATGCAATAGTGGCAGTGGCCAGCGGGCCAAATCACCACCTGTATACATGCTTGCGGATTCGCCGTGGAAGGGGTTCTGATGTCTCCGCCTACCGCCGTCACCTTAGCCGTCACCCTCTCGCACCTCATTCCTCAGTTGATCGCACTAATTACTTTTTTACCATAATTATAGTGAGTTACCCAGTAACAGGTAGAGGACTGTGATTATTTTTCCGTAATGTGAAATTCTCAATATGTTTCCATTGTATTCTTCTTCATTCTGAGCGCCATCTAATAATGATAATTAGAATCAAAATTTTGCTCCGCCATCTATAAGACAGAAGCTGAACTAATGTACCCCTGAATAGGCCTGAATTCAGACACGATTTATGTAGGTTGCCACCAATTATCGACGCCATATTGTTAATTTTGGGTTTTTTCCCATTTTCTTTGGAACGGTGTGATTTTGGAAGCCAGAATTTGGGCAGGGTATGGCATTTTAGTGTATCTAGGAGTTAAATCAATTTTCATTAAAATCTGTGACACAAAATTTCCCAATGTTTACATTTTTCAGTCATCGCCTGCTTTCTTCAACAAACGAGTTTGATTTCGAAAATTACTTTAACTCCTAGCTTGAGCTTTCGTCCTTACGATCATCCAAACCGTTTTTCATTTGGACTTTTCGTTTGGCAGAAAATGGGGCTGAAAAATAGGTCTGCATAGCGATTGTCGTGAATCGTCGGTCTTAACGACAAATACAAATTTAATTAAACTGTGACTTCCGCAAGCGCGATTGTGTCATAATTCATTCCTCTTCTTTTTCCAAAATGTGGTAGAAAATTCTGAAACTTATAGTCGTATGTTCAAATAGGACTCTGAAAACAATAATAATTATGAATGAAGTGATTATGTGATCACTGAATGTTATAACACGATTAACACGAATATTTTCATCGGGCTAAGTACGCTGAGGACTATATGTTTTGATCATGAAGAAGAGTTTAAAATTATAAAAAGGTGGTGCTCAAAGGTACAATGGTTCAATCACAGTTCAATGTAAAGGTATCATAGTCCTTGAATAAAAATGAACTTTTATGACTGTCAATGAAAGCAACAGATTAATGAAAAAGCAGTGTGCATAAATCATCTTCAAAATTTGACAAGGTTGGTAGAATAGATAGTTTTGAAACCTGTGGCGCCACCTACTATCGAATGTTCATACTATTCATAGAAGTAGCGAAAATGGAGAAGATACCTTATTTCATTATTTCCTTGTCTTGTTTCATTTGTAACTCTCAAATAAGAAGGAAACACCAACTTGCAAATAACATCAAAGACTAAAAGGGTGCTCGGAAACTGAATGGATGAATTGGAAAATAGTTCACTTATGGACAGATATTACAATGTCCTATAAGGCATTAGGCCTACAAAAATATTGAGAAGTAGAAATATGTTACCACCTGTCAAATCACCTGTGTTGTGTGTGTCAAGTGCAAGTGTCATAACTTGTCATAACGTTTTAAGTCAAATGTCGAAACATAAACATAACAGGCCTGTTCGTTTGTACTTGCTCTGCCTGCTGAACTTGTTTTTCTTTTATGGCTTTCTCTGTTTACATCATGCCATGAACAGAGACAACTATGGAGAAAAAACTTCAGCAAGTTCAGCAATACAAACGAACAGGCCTAACATAACATAACCTATAAAAAAAAGTTGGTTCGGATTTCGAAATTTTGTAAATTTTCACAAGATTTTTTCTGAAAAATGTGGAAAACTATAGGGACTTCCCTATCTGTCATATCAAAACAAAAAGACATCCTCCAACCTGCCAAAGAGTTAGCGAATCAACAACTGCGGGTAATCTTGCTAGTCTAAAATCCATGCCTTGTACATTTTTTTTTGTTTTCAGACTACATACATTTTACGACGTAAACACCCCACTCAACTCCATGCCAAGGGCGAGAATCCAAAAACCCTTCGAAGTAGGCATTACATCTATGAGGTAGTAGAAGACACTACAAGTGTGAAGCATCCTAATCTTGATGTCATTCTCACCTCCTATGTAGAGGGATACGGAAATGTCGGCGACAGAGTGTCTGTAAGACCGAATTTTGCTTACAATAACCTACTTCTACCTGGATTGGCCGTTTATGCCAGTCCTGAAAACTTGGAAAAATTCCAGAACAAACAAGATGACAAAGACATAATTAGATATAGCTCAGCCAATGCATTATATGTAAGTATGTCTCTCATTACTGCTCTTCTGAACAAGAAGGCATCATTTTTTCCATAAAATGAAGAAACAATAACTTTTTCAGACTGTTAAATCACTTCAAAGGGTCTTGCTTTCTGTCATCATGAACATGGAGATGCCTTGGACCCTGAAGCCATGGCACATCTCAACTTCCTTTCGAAAGTGTGGATATGTGGTTCCAGAAGACACTATAACACTACCAGAACAGCCAATTTCAGGCCCCAATATGGATTTGGAAAACAAAGAATTTGCCATCACAGTAACAGTAAGGATACCTATCAAATCTAATCTAATACTTAATGTGGGAATTTTAATGGAATGTATTTTTCTTTTGTTTCAGATAAACAACAAAGAAAAGGTAGATGTGAGATGTAGAATTCACCACTGGAGTACAGATATAAGTGAAAGAATTCCACATACTCCCCAGTTTTGGGAAACTCCAAGTGAGCCTATTTTGCCAGAACAAGCACCAATTTTAGAAGCAATACCTCCAAGACCACCAGCTAAGAATAGATCTGCTCAATTAAATTAATTTAATGAATCATGTTTTTTTAATTTTCCAATGGGGGCTAACATTTTAACCAGTTGGTGCTACTAAAACATGAGGTCAAAGTCAAAATGAAAAATCCTGAAATTTTACAGGATAGCACTAAACGCTATAGCCTGTTTCATCAGTGGAATATTTCAACAAATAGACAATGGTTTGCTGGAAAATAAATGTTAGCCCTCTAGCTTGTCTAAAAAAATATTAAAAATTGTCATTTGAGGTCACTAAAAATTAAAGACTTTAAAAATAAGAAGACTCTTAAAAAAGAAGAAGATTTATTGTGTCTACTGTCTACCGGACAAGAAAAGAAGCAGCCAAGTTACTTTAAAAAATAAGCAGAAACATTGCGCTAGGATACAAAAAGGAGAAGAAGATTATAGATTTCCTAAGGTGTGTTCGTTTGTGTTGCTGAACAGTGAACTTAGTCTCTCTTCATGCCATGATGTAAACAAAGAGTCATAAAAAAAAATCAAGTTTGGCAGGTTGAGCAAGCACAAACGAACAGGCCTATAATGTAACATCAACTTTAGTAAGTTCAGCAATACAAACGAACAAACCTCAGGTAGGTATCCGTAAATGTCAGAAAAATGTTCAATACGTAAACAATAATTTTTCATCGGGTTTCCGAGTTTTTCTAAACATTCAAAGAAGCTCTCTCATAGAAAATGGCAACTTTACCACCTAGAAGGAATCCAACCCCTACAAAAATATCCAAACAACACGTCACCCCTCTTCAAACACTGCTTCAAATGGGTTTTCCAAAACACAGAGTGTGAGTCCAATTTAGCTCTAATTGATATCCCATCAAATTGACACTCTTAAACCACAAATAATCAATCAAATTTTACTTCCATGCCATGATGAAAGTGTCTCAATTTCAGGGAAAAAGCCCTGGCAGCCACAGGCCACAGAGGGGTGCAGCTAGCTTCAGACTGGCTTTTGGCACATGTAAATGACCCTCTGTTAGATGACAACTCGCCTAGAGAGTACATTTTGTATGCCTGCCCTACTGGAACCTTTTTGCAGCAGCTGCAGGGCTTCTGGCAAAAATCGCTGGCCCTGTGTGGGTGGAATGGGGCCCACAATTTCACTCCACACATAACATTGGTCTCATTTTTCAAGGTACAGTGAATATAAGAAGATTTTAAATCTCCTTTTCAGAATTTTTTATGTGAACAAAAAACATTTCATTCTCCAAGAGAATCAATTTTGTTTTCCATTTGCTTGTCAAATGAACACAGAGAAATACTGTTGACAAGTTTTTATTTATAGTCTCCTGATGAAGAAGCACTACACTTGGCTCAAGGTTTGAAATCTGTGATGGAAAGACAAGGGGCTGTCTTGAATGAGGCCCTCAAGCTGGAAATGTACACTTCTCCTAATTTCATGGGTTTTTTTGTAGCAGAAGAGCATGCAGATTATTTGAAGAGAATTGCCATGCAGTATGTCAAAGAAGTTTCAAATTGTAGTAAGTACCTATAGACAGAAAAACAAAGTCCAAAGTCAGGTTCAGAGCCATTTAATGTGCTATCTAATACCTATGTTTGAACTAAAAATTAAATGATGCTTGGTGATGACCACTGACAAGCACATCAAAAGCAAGGTTTTTCAAATGTTCTGAGTTGCATGGAAAATTCGGTAAAGCTGCCAATGATCAAAAGTAAATTTCACTTTTTGTCATGAATGTCATAGTCATGATGACAAAAGACTTATTCAATTTCATTCAATTTTGACCAATATTCATAATTTGGCAGTTTAAAAAGTATATCCTGATTTGATTCAAGTAATGATGATCTTTTCATTCTACAGACAAAATAACAATAATATATAATAAAGTAGTCTTTGATAGATGATGCAGCAAATATTTTTAAATGGAGTAACATGAATATGGAATTGTTATTTGTGCAACTAGTGCAAAAAGTTGGCAGCTCAGATGATGTTGAGAGCTACAATCATGAGTAATGAATTCAACAAATATGCTTTTGCACATGTTGCACAGGAAATTTTTTCTATCATGATAATTTATTTTTATTTAAAATTTCATTGAGAGTAATTCAGTAATTCAGGAATAAATATCAGTAATTCTCAATTTTCAGATTGAACTAGTAATCACCAAAGAATTGAAGTATTTCTTCAACTTTCTTGTACACTGAACAGTGTAAAAAGTAGTAAGTTTCCATGAACAACATGCCACTGAGTTTTCCAACTTGTTGTATAGTACAAGTGACCTAGAAATTCAACAGTTGTAGAATTTTGAGTCACTTGAGTATCTCTAATTACAATATTCAGTTTAGAACATGACTTAATAATTCTGGAATTTAAGGAAGTGCCTCTTGTCAGTATTTATATAGATTGTAGTTGAGAACCACACATTTGACTTATAGAATATGTCACTACACTGTTTTTGTAGTGAAATATATATCTCTGACTTATTAGTGTCACATATTGACACATTTGTGTCACTGATATATATATGATGCATAGTACCGGCCCCAATACTGAACCCTGTGGTACTTATTACTTCTAGGGATGTTTGTGATTTCTAAAACATGTCACTATCCACCAGTTTCCTGATTCTTGTATCTCATAATTATCATGTAGTTTCAATAACAACTTGTGAAGATTTATGCTGATATACAGGGTGGGACAATATTGCGTCAGTTATGTTTTCTAGTTTACATTCGTTAATCATAGGACTCCAGCAATGATACTCTGACGAGCTATTGCCTCACCCTGTTCACAGTGTCCATCTAAAGTCCGTTTCCTTTACTAATTCTTGAACCACCTGGTATATCGCAATGAAATTTGGATGGCTCAAATAGGAGTTTTTCATGGGAAAATGACCAAATTGAATTATTTTTTTAAATGGAATTTTCAAAATCTTCTCATAATCCTCAACAGTCTCAACTAATACACCTACTCCTAAATTCCATAGTTTTAGAAATCTAAAGTTTGAAATGTGACATTTTGGTCATTTGGAATCCAACCAAAAACTGGAATATTGCATTGCTTTCAATCAATTTTGCTTTGGAAAAAATCGTTGCTGTGGTGATATCTTGTTTTCTGTCAAATATAATTTGATTGAAGCAACATCCGAGTTTTTGATTGGGTTTGAAATTACCAAAAATGTAACTATTCAAATGTTAATATTGTTACGTTATTTGGTTGCAGAAACAAACAGGACACTATTTATTTTCAAACTGATTTATTTAACACTAAAGAAAGTGTTTCTTTATTATTTATATTGAACTTACAACTACTATTTATGTAAAACGATTTATATCACGCGGTATATGACTGTCTTTCTGACACTACTGCTTGACTGACTGCAGTTGTTTGGCCGTCCTTATATATGAGATTCCTTGGTAGGCTTTGCTTCTCGAACGTTCTCTAATGATCTTCCGTGCCCTTCTTTTTGTTCTAGAAACTCCTCAGAACAAAACCTCTCTCTCTAATAATTGTTCCATCGATTGTTTCCAGAACATTCCAGAATCTTCTATCACGTTATTTGTCACCGCGGCATATATTGAATGTTCGGAAATATGCTGGTGCATGTAGGAATCATTGAGAGGTTAGAGAACAATATGAGATGCGTGTTACAGGATTATCTTTGTACTCCTGTCTTCCTGATGATGTTTCTAGAGCCCCTCTAAGGGAAATATTACAATATTTCAAATGATATATAAGGGTGTCCGTTTCGAAAAAAATAATTCAAGATTGCGCTCAGCCGCCATTTTAAAACGTCAAGTTCATTTTTTTTTTCATTAAAAAATTAGGTTTTCATCTCCTATTTGAGTCCTCTAAATTTCGTTGTGATATACCAGATGTGGGGAATGGGAGAACGGAATATATACGGGCACTGTATGTTTGTTTCTACATAATCCTAAGTCTAACCGTAGTTGTAGCCCTTCTGTATACTAACCGGGGATGGTTCTTTGCAGTTATTAGCGATACTTACGAACACTTTGACGCTCTGACAGCATGCTTCCCGTGGTGTACCACTACGACAGCACGCTGTATACCGAGAGGCAGTAGATGTAAGCAATACCATGAATGACATGTCGTTTGTTCCTTCCTTTTAGACGTTTTCTTCTTCCAGAGGCCTTTTGACTTCTTGCCTTTGTTATTCTTTATCGTTTTAGGTTGGTTGGTTTGCTTTTTATTTTCGTGCATAACCAGTGGCGTAGCCAGAAATATATTTCAGGGGGGGGCATACCTGATTTTAAGATTGTAAGAAGAATTGAAAACATCAATAAATGAGCAGATCTTGGCTTACTTATTGAAAAACAAAAAACAAATCGATGAAGACAATGAAAGAAAACACTAATAAAATAACAGTTAATTATATATTTCCACCCATACAACTATAGTGAAATTCGTCGATTGGTTTGGCGAATACTCATTAGGGTTGAATTTGTTGCAGCGTTGCCAGCCCAGCAACTCAAAATGTACTAAAAATTCACCGAACAAAGTACTAGTTTTCTATAAAAGTACTAGTTTGGATTCTCATTCAAACTTCCTTCTAGTGAGTAAGGATAGGGATGGAAGAAGGGGGGGAAATAGACAAGGAAAAGAAATAATAATGAACACTTTTACTGAATATTGTGAATATCTCATTTCTCATTAGTCAAAACACTTCAAAACAGTCAATCGTCATTCTGTCATTGATTTATATTCATGTTTGTGTTTGCTCTACCTGCTAAACTTGATTTTCTTTCTATGACTTTCTCTGTTTACATCATGCCATTAACAGAGACAACTATGGAAACAAAATCAATTTTAGCAAGTTTAGCAACAAACGGACATACCATCTGCATAGTACAGACATGAGACATAAGCAGAACGTTGTGCAATAATAACAGTGTTGTCGCCGCTGTTGCCATCGTTATATAATTTCCTAATGTGCGTATGTTCAATTTGGAAATTTTTGAATTCACTCAGGTTACCTACTTTCCCTTGACTGCGCCACTGTGCATAACAAACGATATTTCGGAGCATGCAATTTTTTATTTGAGAGGACATGATTTCGACCTAAAATATTTCATGGTTCCTGTATCAAATTTCATAGGGTACATAGTGGAAAAATGATGTTTCAGAGCCTGGTACATGTTTTAAATAATTTTCAAAATTCACAACATTTCATAGCATGAAAAACGCGGGAAAACGTGTGTCGAAATCATCCGTGAACAATCTAATGCTACCATATAAGATTCGACTCACGTATCCATTCTCTATTTGTGTAAGACAAGTGCAAGACTATTTCTGATTGTCATTTTTATCAAAATATGATATGAATTTTCTGGACCGAATAATCTGTGCCGATCACAGAAAACACAATACACAACTGAAGAATCAGATAAAATGAGGATTATCTTTGAATATTCGCAGTAAGTAATTGTTAGATTTGACTCTGGATTTTACCGAGATGATAAGTTTGAAAATGAAGGTGTTAGGAAATTAGATTCGATTTTGTTTTATTTTCTTGGTATTTCTGTGAACTCTTAGCGTGACTATGGTTATATCAGGGTCACAAAATAGTTTGGGTTTGAATAAAATATCGATTGGGATATTATGATAGGCACTGAAGCATCTTGCAAAAAATGTAAGTATTCAATGAGTGATTATTATAGGAACTAGGAGGAACCATTGTGTTCTATAGATTCGGCAGCGTCGAAATATGTGGTTATGCTCTTATAGTTTGTTGAGGAATACAGAGCAAATTTCACTATTGCCACGTGAGAAAGTTTATAATGTCATTGAGAACTGGCGTTTTTTGAAAGTGCCGAATTTGAATTATCGAAAAATGTATCGGTGATAATTTTAAATAATGAATAATTGAATCAAATACTATTTATACACGAAATGGTCAATATAAAATAGGTTCGTGGCGTTAATTCGACTAGTGTGTGCATCCCCATTGATGGTCCTAAAAAACTGAAACTCGTGAATACATTTTTCCGATCCTGCACCTAAATTATATAATTCTGATCGAATTGTTTCTCACTGCCTGTAGCAGAATCACTAAGAATACAACCTTCACTCGCTTTCCTTCTGCTTGCATGACTTCTTTCATCTCTCCTCAATGTGATACATTTCCACTCTATTTCTGAGCACATTTCATCATTGCATGCTCCGGCATTTTCAGCCATCAGTTTGGAGCCCCACGTCAAGTCCCTACATCTGACGCTGGCCTATCAGTTCCCCAACACTCAATACGCCAGTTTGAAGTCCTTGGTGGACGAACTGGACCCGGCAGCGTCCAGCAGCTGGGAATTGAGGTTATATTCGAGAGACCCGCGAGTCAACGGAAAGCAAGTCCACAAAGTGAGTGAAATTTTTCACTACCCACAAACCATGGACGTATAAACAAAGACAAACGTTCACTGATAATTGGCGTGTATACCTTAGTAGAACTTTTAACTCAAACCATGTTTATAATGATCCTTTTATACATAAATAATGATTGACGACATAATTCGATCGAAAAATCAACCGTAATGTTTTATTTTTGGACATAAATTATAGTACCTTCTGAAAACGGCCCCTCTTATGACGTAGAAACCTCATCTCGTCATAGTTGAAAGAAAATACAAAACGCCCGACGGAGACTGAGGCAACTGATATATTAATTATTTCAACGGTGATCTCGCGCTAATTCACTCTGTCAGAAATCATGTATCATTCATCTCTGTCTGGAATAGTCTTGTTTCAGTATGAGGGTTTTGACGTCACATCATCGCGCCTCGTTTTCAGAGGTCCGAAAAATCGGGGATATGAATAATTTTTTATAAAACGTAGGGAGCTCACAGCAAGAAACGGATTGCGGTGGTGAGCTAGTTTGGGTGAGTTCTATCGAATTATGAAATAAAAATGTTTTGTGATATAAGCCCATTCACAAATGTATAAACATTTCATGGTTGACTTTTTCAAAAACAGAACTGAGAAATGGCTGTTTATACACCTACTGCTAGCGAATTTTCAATGCTGTCCTATTCCTATCACACTCTGTACTCGAAAACCCACTATATTCACGATTACATACACACACACACATATACAACCATATACGTATTAATAATCAATACGGATAATCTCTATCTGTTTCCATAGCGAAACATGAAGCCGATTTTTGAAGACAAATGACTATCCATAAGGAAAAGTTTTGAAACGATCAGACACATACTGCTTTGATTGAAAGGCTAGTAAACGTCATTGTCCACCGAAACGCATGTCTTTGATGACTACTATAATAGCGCATGGCGCATGCGTATCATGCCACCAAATCCTTATGGATATTCATTTGTTTCATATTTTTGGCTTCATCCTGGCACCCGTTATGATCCGTATTGTTTATTAATACGTATATGGTAGACCGCGAAACACCGTAGCAAGGCCGAACCGGATTGACTGTAGATGGCGTAGCGTGGCGTAGGGAACATCGTGCCACATATACTTCACAGATATAATGAAAATTTCACGTCTTTTTCATTAAATCAATCATTTTTTTCTCAATGTTTTCAAATTACGAATTAATATACGTAAATGTAAACAACAAAACAAAAAAACCATTGTGTAGCAAGATCACTTCGGGAACAGCGCCATCTAACGTTAGTTTTGCGCGGCCTTACTACGGTGATAGAATTCGACATAATCAAGTAGGCCAGAGGTCTACAAAATTTCTAGGGTTTTGTAAGAGGGAGCTATTTCACCATACATATATCCACCTTTGTCCAGTACATAGCTTCGCGCATGATAGTACCCTCCATACCGCCTTCTCTCCCAGGGCTCCAATACCAGCCTGGCAAATCAAGAACGAACGAGGAAGAAATGTTGACAACATAAATATGGACCTAAAAACTCGGTTTTCTGTTTCGGACCAGGAGCTATTTCACTTCCAGTCAGCTACTTATGATCTATAAGGCACAGATCCGACTTATCCTTGAATACTGTTCCCATATTTGGAGTGCAGCACCCAAACATACCCTGAAACTGTGGATTCTGTCCAAAAAAGGGCAATTCGTCTCGTGGGTGATGCCTCGCTCACAAACTCACTCACTTCTCTGGAACACTGTAGAAAAGTTGGCGATCTGGCTCTATTTGATAGATATTTTCATGGACGATGCTCTTCTAAAATATCAACAATTGTTCCTCCCTTGGCAGTCTCCGCGAGATTAACCCGTCTAGTTGAGGCTTCGCACCCCTTCGTGGTCACTTTGGAGACCTGCAAAACATCTCTTTCCAATGACTGTTTCATCCAACGAACAGCGATGCTCTGGAACACATTGCCAAGGAAGGTGTTCCCCGAGGCATATAACCTGCAGAAATTAAAGAAGAACACCAATATTTACCTTATTACCCTTGTTTCTCACGATGTTCTCTGAACATTACAGGATATCCCTTTTCGTGGGAACCAGAACGTGAAAAAAAAGTATATTTAAGGTGTACGTAACGTACACCCTTAGCCCACTACCAATGCAAACGTGGAAAATCGAGAAAGGCGCATGCGTAGCTGTAAATTTCTACGTTAACGTTTATGGAAGCACTTCAATTGTCTAGTATTCAAAAAAATAACTTGTCTTCGTTGAAGGTCATCCACGCTCACCTACCCAGCGAGCAAGACGAACTAGAACTCAGGACCGGCGACTACGTGTACGTGAGCAGCGAAGCCCTGACGGCCTCGCCCGACGGCTGGGTCGAAGGCGTCTCGTGGCTGACCGGACAATCCGGGCTGCTGCCGGAAAGTTACACGGAGCGGACAGCCGAATCGGACGCTTGGACTTTGCACAAAAAAATCGCCCTCAATCAGAACGTCACTGAAGGTAAATATTTCGCATCGATGAAGGAAGCTACGATACTAGCGGGGAGCAATTAAGACCCGTATTTATAGTCGTTTCCTCAAGAACGCCTCAAGTCTTCCTCATCTGAGAATTCCTTGAGCACTCCTCAGTACTTGACGTTAAACTTGTTTTATAGATCTCTCTTGAGTATTCCTTCTAAAAGGAGCCCTTACACTTGGCAACAGTGTATAATTTTAGTGTTATGTGACCAAATGTGTTGTTTCATGTCACCTGTTTGCCACAAAATGTAAAATGTCAAATTTGACAATATTCACTGTTCAGTGGAAATGAAGAAAGTGTCGATGACGATGTTGGAAAATTACAATACAAGAATTATTACTTTATTGAAAACGGATTCTTTCAAGCTGCAATGGAATAATATGCCAGGGAGAGGACAAATATCCATTTGATTGAATACTTGGAATAAATCTGTGATTTTGTGTGGTTTTTCATTGAAAATGTATGTCGATCTATTTTGATTATTTGGGATTTTTCTCCTCGTTTCTATAGAATATAATAAATATGAGTATTATTTCAAATATATATGTATTTCATCAAGATGATACCTATATATAATTGTAAAATTAATATTGTAAATATGCTGAGTTTCCATTATTTGTAATATATTTATACCTATTATCTGAAATAAAAAAAGATTTACTTTTCAACTAAACTTGAATAAGCTTCTACTGGAAATCGATATACTCGAATCAGATTCTCTGTACAAATTTCTAGACATGAATATTCATTTGATTACTACATTCAATTTCATCATTCGATTCATGGAATTCATCACATAACCTAAAATAATACCAGAAGTTGGATTAAGGAATGCTCAAGGTACACCTCTTTACCTTCCTTGGAATTGACATTCCCTTGAGGCTTCATTGGAGCTCATATTACGACTTTAAATACGGGCCTTGTGAAAAGCATTATGTGGGTTATAATCAAGACCTGGAATACCAAACACTGTGCTGCGCGGATCTAAAAATAATTATCAATTTGAAATTTGAATCGTGAGACGAACATGAATGAAGAGTCTGCAGGCTGCATATTGTTTTCAACATTCGTAACTGGAATGCGATATATTTTCGTAATTTATTAATTAATCAACTATCTCAATGAATACGAGGCAGGCAGTGAACAACAATTTTCTCTGCGATGGAAAACACTGTATATACCTAGCCCATCTAGCGTCTACCTCCTTTGCAGAGAGGGTTTATGAACGCCGAGTTGATACTCTCCCCTCGTAAGGGTACCTGTCGTGTTTCCATAGAGACATAAAGGTGAATATCTGTCTATCTGTTTCCTTGAGAATCTGGAAAGGATATCAATACATCGCCTTCCGTATGAATATAAGAATCTAAATTCTGTAAAGTATACTCTGGTCAGTTCTCTTTGCGGATCTTCTGTTCGGTTCGTCTTGACTGGGTGGTTTTCTCCGATTGAGTGGCAAGTATCAAATACTGATTTTTGGATCTGCAACTTACATCAAATATTAATCGAAGTACATTTAACTGAGACATACCTGAATGATATTTTCATCGTCCGTAACTGGATTGCTACATATCCGCTTTCTTTCCGAATAGTGGTTTCGCCAGTATGCATCTTCCACATTTTCAATTACTTGGGTTATATTAAGGACCTTGAAGGCCAAACAATAATGTTCTGCTCGGATCTAAAACTAAGTATCAATTTCAAATTCGAATCGTGAGACCTACATAGAATATAAATCTATGAAAAGTCTGGATATTGTTCTCAACATTCGTAACTGGAATGCGATATATTTTTGTAATTAATCAATTAATCAACTATCTCAATAAATACGAGACAGGCAGATAAACAACGATTTTCTCTGCGATGAAAAACACTGTATATACCTAACCCATCTAGCGTCTACCTCCTTTGCAGAGAGGGTTTATGAACGCAAAGTTGGTACTCTCCCCTCGTAAGGGTACCTGTCGTGTTTCCATAGAGACATAAAGGTGAATATCTGTCTATCTGTTTGCTTGAGAATCTGGAAAAAATCAATATATCGCCTTCCGTACGAGCATGGTGATCTGAATTTAAAGGAGTATACTCTGGTCATTTTTCTCTGTGGATCGTTCACTCGTTTCGGCTTGACTGTATGGCTTTCTCGGATTTTGTTTCAAGTATCAAACACTGTGCTTCTCGGATCTGCAACTGCACATTACATATCAAATATCGAATCATATGAATCAAAAATGATCATCATTAGATGCTGTACATACATGGATGTTGAATTAGAAACTCCCCTGAATATTTTTGCAACGTTCGTAGTTGGATTGCAACATATAAGTTTTGTTTCCGAATAGACGTTTCCTCAGTAAGCTTCATCCACATTTCCACTTAACGTGATTTATAATAAAGACCTGGAATTCCAAACACTGTGCTGCTCGGACCTAAAACTAGGTATTAATTTGAAATTTGTATCGTGAGACGAACATGGAATGAATAGCCTGGATATTGTTTTCAACATTCGTAACAGGAATGCGATATATTTTTGTAAATAATCAATTAATCAACTATCTCAATGAATACGAGGCAGGCAGATAAGCAACGATTTTCTCTGCGATGAAAAACACTGTATATACCTAACCCATCTAGCGTCTACCTCCTTTGCAGAAAGGGTTTATGAACGCAAAGTTGGTACTCTCCCCTCGTAAGGGTAGCTGTCGTGTTTCCATAGAGACATAAAGGTGAATATCTGTCTATCTGTTTGCTTGAGAATCTGGAAAAGAAATCAATATATCGCCTTCCGTACGAACATGATGGTCTGAATTCAGAGAAGTATACTCTGCTCATTTTTCTTTGTGGATCGTTCCTCCGGTTCGACTTGGCTGGATGGTTTTCTCGGATTTTGTGTCAAGTATCAAACACTGTGCTTCTCGGATCTGCAACTAAACATCACATGACGAAGGTGGATCACAGGAGTAGTTTTGACTACTTGTGTATGAGATTTCCATAGTAGAATTAAAATTAAAAATTGATAAAAATCGTTGGAAATTGGTGAAGAATCTGTAAAAGTTGGTAAAAAATCTTAAAACATCGATAAATGGGTAGACATTAGGGGGGTTTTGACACATCCAGGTAAATTATCACATTGTGAGTAAAAGGGGTGAATAGACTTATCTTTGAAATAACACAGTCTCAGTCGGGTAATTTTAAAATATATAATAATTTTCTCTACTACTTTAGTGAGTTGATCTATGGTTAACAATATTAGTGAATATTAGCCTATCTTTGAGAATTCATTTTTTCAGTTTTTTTCTTTTTGAACATTTGGTAGTTTTGTATTTTTTCAAGTTGTGTGGTAACAAAGCATGTATTCTGGGTGCTAAATAATTCGTATTACGTTGGCCAATAGTTTTTCCGCAACGTGGAAATAAAACTTCATCAGTCTTTCGAGTGTTATAGGGGTGTTTATGTGGAGTGAGTTCAATTTTTCCAAGTTTAATGAATAAAATTAATTTTCATTCAAGAAACAGCCATTTACGCCTCCCCAACCTAATATTCCATATGACAGTATAGACTCTATTAGAGAAAAATAAATTGTTTTCAAATATTTTATGTCTAGGATAAACTTCATTACTTTTCTTTTTTTAATGTTCTGTAGCTAAAATTTCCTCACAGCAAGGAGCAATGGCACAAAAAGCAAAGATGGAGGAGGCACCATCGGTACTAAACAATGACGTCATCAAGCCACCCATGCCACCAGAAATAACTGAGGAAGTTGGTGCCTCTGGTACCAAGGAAAACGTCTACGAAAATTTACTGGAGTTGCAAAGGCAAAAGGTGATGAAATAGCGATTTACTTAGTGTTTTTGGCATCATATACAACGTTTCATTATTTCAAACATAGCTATGATAATAATTCAGGATAATCAGCACATTGAAACATACACTGGGTGTACAGTTGAATCAATTCACTGTAGTTTATTTTTGCTATGTTTTCTGGCTTTCAAGACATTTTTTCTAATGAAAAATATGTCACTGTTAGATACATTGACACTTTATCTAGGGACGATTCCGATATTTTTCCAAAATCCGCAGCTAGAAGAGAATTTTGAATTGACTCGGCCGTTACTTGATGGAAATCAATGGCAAATGTGAAAATTTCACAAACTATAAGATTTCCACAAAATTCTCAAACGCAGGACATGTTTTGCTAACACAGCAGCTTCATCAGGTGATATACTGGTACAATGTACAATGAACTAAACTAACCTTGGCTTGCTTAACTTTTATATGTCAATGGCACCTTGAAATCTCCAGAAAATAATTATATAAAAATTACCGATTTGTAACATTAACACCCTGTACTTCAAAAAAAAAACTGTTCATCAATGTACTCTTCGATTTTGCACGTTCAATCAATTCATCGAAAACTTCAACGCACTAAAAATTCAGAAACTTACACCCAGAACCATTTTACCTACAAAAAGTGCAACGTTTTTTGCAAATGTCTAACATTTCAATAATTTTAAATCGAATGACAGGTAACCGTGCTTATTTTGTTTCTTCTTCTCTGTTGATGACTATTTGCTGCTTCACAAGGTGCCATATCAATGTTTTTCTATTTTGCGTCTTTAATGAAATCATTATGACACCCAAATGCGTATCAAAACCGCTTCGATTAGGAGGACACGCTGAATTTCTTCTTTCAAAGTTGGTAATGGCAACGTCAAACTGTCAGACACAATAATTGTTCTACCATCTGTCAAATAAAAAAATGATCATTCAAATGTTTTTTCATTGTTACCAACTACTTTAAAATTCATTTATATCTCTGATTGATGCTGTTATTGATGACATTTTCTGAATAAAAGAGTACAAAGGAATGCAAAATAGAAAAAGTAGTATATTACACACGTAATATAAGACATTTTTTCGCACTCCTTTTTTGGTAAAACTGCATTTATCATGCGATCGGTTTTTTTTTTTCAAAATGTTTTTTGGTACTTACGTATTTTTTTCTGAAAAACACGAATTTGATAATGAAAATGTGAACAAACCATTATTTATAAAGATATTTCAACTTCTTTTCCGCCTGTCTACTGGATCGCATTTAGAACTATTTGCCCTTTCTTTTTTCATCATTGGACAATTTATATATATCACAATGTACCACACATTTTTTTCTAATATATGAGTCAACCAGAAATATGATTTTCTTGTGATTTATCCATATTTAGTGAAAAGGAGGAAGAATATCATTTAAAATAATTGCGTGTGTAATGTCATTCAAAAGCAATCTGTTGTCATTTGACATCTCGTATTTGGATTGACTATTGGGTTGCAATGCTGAGGAATGTGCCATCTGACGGCATATATCACGTGATCATCAAGTGTGATTATTTGTTAGTAGTATTGAAGATTATAATTATTGTTCATTCAATTGTGTGACTGATTATTATATGTTTATTTGTTTATACAACCGTATATGGTAGAAACATATCTTCCGAGTCGTTCTGGCAACGCGGGAAAATGAAGGTTTAAATCCCAATTGATCAAAAGGCCCGATTGGCCGTCATCTAATAATAATAATAACATTTATTGATCCCAAGAAACATACAATGTTCATAGAGGGAAACAAAAAATAATAAATAAATCAAATATGCAATACAATGAAAGATAAACAGTTCAATCAGAATTATTTGATACAAGGAGAGAGCTAAATTGATAAAATATATTACTTCAGTTCACACTTAAATATGAAAAACTCGCCATAAAAATCGTATTTCCTGTCGAATTTTCTATATAAAAATGTGTCATTGAAGTATACAGAGTATATAAAGTGTCCAATGACAAAATAATAAGAGCAAGTAGCTGTAAATGCATTCAACACAAGGGTAAAAAGAAGGCGAAATTTTGAACGTTTTCTTGAAATATCTTGATAAATAGTGGTGTGTTCACATTCTCATTATCAAAGTCGTGTTTTTCAGACAAAAATACGTAAGTACCAAAAAAAATTTTTGAAAAAAAAACTATCACATGATAAATGCAGTTTTACCCTTTTTTTAGCACTTCTTGGTCCACTCGTCGTACTCCAAACAACACGTGCAACAAAATAGTATCATAAAATAAAACTTGTATAATAACATACTAAGACCACATCCAGTGGTGGGTAAGGGGGTTTTTCAAAGAAGGCTATCTCTGTTTCAGAATGGTTGTGAGGAAAACCAAGGTAGGAACATTTTTATCATGCGACACGGCGAACGAATCGACTTTAGCTTCGGCAGCTGGGTGCCTTACTGTTTCGACGAAACCGGAAATTATGTGAGGAAGGACCTTAACATGCCGAAAACGTTGCCTGCCAGAAGTGACGGCCCCAATGGATACCTCAAAGATTCACCAATCACGAATGTCGGTTTACTGCAGGCGACCTTGGTAGGTAAAAAAACATGAAATGTTCAGAATTTTTCTATAGGCGATTGAATTTAAGATCGCATAGCCAAAGTGGTCGGTTGTGAACTATATGAAAGTACATCATTTTGAAATGGTTCATGCTTGTGTGTATTATTTAGATTTTTTTATAGTGTTTTGAGCAAAGAAAACTTCACTTTCGACTGTTTATTTGTGTACTCTTTTCAATCGAGGGAGCTTTTCGGCAGATATTCGTTCAATAAACGCAGATCTTGACCCTCCTATAGGTCGTGACTTAGCTACTCGCGAGTATTTCTATTTTAATTCCTATTGCAGAAGGAACGCCGATGAGAAATGGGAGAAATTACCAAATTTCAAAAATGAAAACTATATGTGAGTGACTATAGTAGGTACTTACTTTTAAATCATAATGTACCAACCGGATTCCTTCGTCTTCCGCTGCAGTTTTTGTGCATTGGACAACAGCACAATGTGATGGCATGCGCGATTTAATGAATAGCCGAAAAACACGATTCGTATGCCAAAATAATTGTGAAAAACTATTTCAATCACTTGTGAACAAAGAAGAAAAGTGAGGTTATGTTTCAATGTTTCACCAACAAGGTCGGTCATTTGATAGTTCTTGCAAGCAACCCCATTCTAACCTTTTTTATAATGAGGTTAATATGATCTTCTTCATTTCTTTCCATTTCCAATGCTACCATCATAAAATTTCCATTATTTTACGTTGGAACACTGAAGACAAGGACAGTTGGGGAAGACATTGTTTTCTCTCTCAACGCTAGCTGAACTACTTTATTCGCGAGATTCACGAAGTGGGCGACATCTAGGTTACATAATACGAACTTCAAACTGGGGGAAAACAAACTGTTGTCTATGTATGAGACGCCGTTTGGGTCAAAAGTGTGGATAAAGTGCAAAGACTACATTGCATTCAGCTTGCTGTAGCTGTAGTCAAACTTGTCAATGACATAAAGTGTTGGCACTACTGTCACTGTTGGTAGTGATAATGGTTGAGTTGGTTAATTTTTTTACATTATTACATTTCTATTAGTTTAGTGAACAGTGAACGGGTGAAGAATTGGAGATAGTTCAAACAATTCGAACTAATTATGACGAGCAAATCAATTGACATATATAAAAGAACAACTACAACATGTTTACAATACCTAGATTGTCCTGCTTTGCATGAGCAAATACAAATCCATTGGTCTACAGGAGTTCCTCTGGACCCCAACTACAATTTTACTTCATGTGGGGAAGATTTTATCGCCGAAGTTTGTAGACAAAGTGCAAAAATGTGCCTTTTGTTGAAGTCTTCCGCCTCACACAAAATCACATGATTAGCACGGAGAACTGCTTCTCCTTTCACTATTGGTCGGCTTTTTCCATCTAAATAGAGCAAAATAAATATCTGCCAAAAATCTACAACAGGCATTAGCAGCGTTTTCGGTCGAATATTGACAATTAATATCAATAAATTCAAAAACTTATCACTGTTATCAGTACACAGTACACAAGCTAATGGCACTAATGGGATTGAGTGAGGATTGAGTTTGTTTTCCCCCAGTTTTGACGTGGCTTTGACATGGAACGATGAAAACCGAGCGCCACCGGGTAACATTGATTCCCGCGATTAGAATGAATTCATGAAATTTCCAACATGGATGAAAATGAATGTGAGGTAATCAATTCTGGTCTTTCAGACCACGAAGCTGTTTTGTGCCATGTCCCAATTGACTCAAAATCCTCTGGTAAAAAAAAGATTATAGGGAGAATATACAGCAAACTGAATTTCAATAAATTTCAACAACTTTGTAATGCCAATAACTGGAATGAGGTAACACTGGAATGTAATGACCCATTAACTAAATTCCATTCGATGATGTCCGATATTTTCAATACTGCGTTTCCTCTCAAGGAGATCAAGAGTAAACCAGGAAAACCTTGGATAACGAAAGGTTTGAAAGTATCTGCTAAAAATATGAGAAGCTTACATTTGATTAAAAAGTATGCTATGGATAATGTAGGATTCGTCTCATTTTATTCTAAGTATCGGAAAATTTATAGAGGAACTCTGAGAGCGGCAAAGCAATTGTATTATAGACAAAAGATAGATAATTCAGGTAATAGGCAGAGGGAGAGTTGGTCAATAATTAATGAGTTGAGGGGTAAAAAATATACCGTCCCTATGGAAACAAATCTAAATTGTGGCGATATTAATGAATACTATTGCTCTATAGCAGAAAAGATATCCAAAGAAATCCACCCTACAACGGACCCCTTGGATTATCTAAAGAATATTACTGTATCTGAATCCTTTTTCTTCATGCCAACGGACATTGAAGAATTGAAAAGAACAATTCATGAAGTAAAAAATAAAAATTCATCTGGATATGATGATATATCCACAAAAATATTTTCTCACTTACCTGACTGTGCTCTTATGAGCCTGGTTTGAAGCTATCAATTTTTCATTCTCATCAGGAGTATTTCCAAAATGTCTAAAAAATGCGGTGGTGATTCCTCTACATAAAGGTGGGGATATGGAAAATCCGGCCAATTATAGACCAATCTCATTGCTACCTACCCTCTCTAAATTAATTGAGAAACTGGTGAAAAACAGAGTGACGGCATTTTTGGCAAAGCACAAAATTATAAATTCCTTTCAATTCGGGTTCCAAAGTGCAAAAGGAACAAGTGATGCTATTTTTAACCTACTGCAAGATGTATATTTCAATCTCAATGATGGTGATATTACGGCTGCTGTTTTTTGTGATCTAACTAAAGCTTTTGACTGTGTCAACCATAAGATTCTGCTCAATAAATTAGAAAGGTACGGCTTCAGAAATGTAGTTCTGAAATGGTTTGAGGAGTACTTATTGGGTCGGACTCAAAGCGTATCTCTCCATAACAAATTTTCAAAAAAAATGGAGATAAAATGGGGAGTACCGCAAGGATCGGTGCTCGGTCCAATGCTTTTCTTGATATATATCAATGACCTAGCTTCTATAAATATCACGGGAAAATTTACTCAATTTGCAGACGATACCACATTACTATGGCATAATGAAAATGACATGGATCTTCACGAACAAATTAATAATGATGTTATCAAGGTAAAAGCGTGGTGTGATGCAAATATGCTCTCTCTGAACATATCAAAAACTAATATAATCTCTTTTAAATGTCATCTGCCACAACTTTATTTGGGTAATCAAGAAATTAGTAGTAAGAGAGCAACTAAATTTCTAGGCTTATACATTGATGACAAGTTGAAATTTGAAGATCATATAAAGATACTGGGAAAAAAAATAGCATCTGGATGTTTTGCAGTGAAAACCACCTCATGGGAACTTGGTAGGGACATGGCCAAACAGGTTTACTTTGCTGTAATCGATTCTCATCTCAGATACGGGATTTGCTTTTGGGGATCTTGTAGTAGAGTTCTATTCGACACGATTTTTGTATTGCAGAAAAGGGCATTGAGATACATGTGCAAAGCCAAATTCAGGGATTCGTGTAAGCCTTTATTTATAGCACAAAGAATCTTACCACTACCATGCATCTATATATTGGAAACAGTATGCCTTATCCAGAGTAAGTTTAGAGGAGTGCAATCAACTCCACAATATATGACTAGACAAGCTTCTGATTTAACTTTACCACTCCCTAGGTCTGCACAAATAAAAAATTCCATTATCTATAATGGCAAGAAAATGTTCAATCACTTACCTAATGAAATGAAAAGGATCACGGATAAAAGAAAGTTCAAAGTTTCTTTGAGAAATTTTTTGCTAGACAAAGCATTCTATTCACTGGACGAATTCTATTTGGAAAAATTTTAGATTCCATTTTATGTCATTCTACTTAATCGTATTGTTAACTTGCCTTTTCTCATTTTACCATACTTTTGTATTGTTCTTTTATTTATTTATATATATGAATGCATATTGTATGTTTTTTAAATATCGTAGGTTTTTAGATTATTGTCTGTCTTGATTTTATAAGGTTTTAAGATATATCATGTACTTATGTTTTTAGATTTTATTGTCGTCTGACCTTGTAAAATTGACGTGTAGTGGTCTGCACTACAAGTGTATGTGATGAATTTCATGTGTATTTATGTATATATCGCGTAGTCTTCCCTATGTGGCCTGAATGTTCAAATGATATGTTTGTTGTTTTTCACCCTAACACTTTGTCAATAAGAACTACCATTCTTGAGACAATAAAGTAATTTTGATTTGATTTGATTTGATAAAGCCTACAAGTGAAGAATGAATGTGGACAGAATGAACTAAGCAATAAGGAAGGACAAAGTGAATGATTGTATAAGTAAAAAAATCTTGAATAGTTGAAAAAAAAAATATCCATCTCAATCTGTCCGTTTTCCCCAGGTGGGCGAATCCTTCAAAGACAACTCGATCGACGTGAGGTACGCGTACAGCTCGCCTTCGTACCGGTGTGTGCAATCTTGCGACGGCTTCCTTCGAGGGCTCGGCAGAAGGGCCGACGTGCGGATCAGGGTGGAGCCGGGCCTGTTCGAGTGGACGGTGTGGTATCCGGACGGGCCGCCCGATTGGATGACCACTCAAGAGTTGATCGAAGGAGGGTGAGAAAGGATACTAACTTTTTCTAACCAATCTAACCTATAGCTTCCAGTCAGAAATAATTCTGGTATGAGGAAGTTGATTACAAACAACAATAATAAATTAACATAAGGTGACAACGAGAAAGAATCTAAAAAAATCTAAAATCAACAGGTACAATATCGACGACAGCTATGAGCCGTTGGTGAATGTCAAAGAACTGAAAGAAGCCAAGGAGAGCTGTGAACAGTTTTATTTGAGGAGCGCTTTCGTCACCAGAGGTGCGTACATAATTTTTTTTTCTAAAATAATGCGTCCTATCGAAGTTTGACAAGTATATCATTTCTTGGAGTAACTTGGTGTGCTAATCAGTAAAACTCAAGGAACATTTGAAACATCCATTCAGAATTTTTTTGTGGTGAAAAAGGTTGCATGTGATCTGTCGATAAGTCGTGGAATTATCCCAATGAATACAATTCATGCTCACAATACCTTTCTTCCTTTCTGTGAAAGCTCGCTGCTTGGCATTCACTTTGTTTCTCCAGGTAGTCTTGAGTACTGCTCTGTATCCTTTTTCATGAACATGGCAGTCTTGAAGGTTTCATTCGAATAGATCCGGTTCGAAGGACCAATATGTTCGATGCTTCATAGATAGTGGACTGTATTTGTATAGATACTCATATGATATATGAAAATGAATCCTTTATTTATTGATTCAATTAATAAATCTTATGTTTCAACAACACGCCGTCATGTCAACAACAAATGGAAATCTCTTATACTATCAAGTATATGGGGTTATACAAGTACTAAACAATAGTATTGCGAGCATTGATGGTATTTTCGTTAGGAATCAAGATGATCAAGGTCGTGCAGAGTACCTCCTATTGCGGTCTCCAAATGAAAACATCAAGAAAATTATGTTATTTCTCGACATTTCGAAAACGTTATATCTACTATCCTGCGAACTCCTGGTGTTTTTATCAGAGCAATTCAGTTTGGTTCAGAAATGAAACAACAGACTTATCGCGAAAATGTACTATTTTGAGGTTTACTACTGCTAATTCTACGATCTTTATGAAACTGTCATCTCTTACTATCGATAGTTGTTCGCTTGAACTGCTTGCTGCTACCCGTGAAACCTCCAGTTGCTTCACATTCACTGTTACTCCATAGTAGTCTCGAGTGCTGTTCTGTATCCTTCATGAAGAACTTGACACTCTTGAAGGTTCGATTCGAATAGATCCGGCTCGAAGGACCAAAACGTCAAATCTAATCCTGCTCGTTCTTTAGGAATCCTGTCGGCTAACTCGTCCGGCAACATCCTGCTAGTCGGCCACTCGGCCACCCTGGACACGTGCTCGCACGAGCTGGTCGGCAAACGGCCGAGGCCTCCTAACGAGATGATCAAGATCGTGCAGAAGATCCCGTATTGCGGGCTGTGCCAGGTGGCGAGGAAAGAAGATGGGGACGGGTGGGAGGTGGTCGAGCCACCATGTTTGCCAGCCACGCACTCGAATAACCAGAGGTTCGATTGGAAGATGCTGATCGAGTAGAGGCTCTTCATTTTATTGCTAGGTGATTACCTTTTCTCAATAGTGTCATGTCTGCTGCAGATCGAGTAGAGCCTCTATGGAGTGATTTTATAATAAGAGTGGCGACAATAGTGATGCACTTTTCGATTGGTCAGACCTAAATATGGAGGTGAACCCGCCTGTTGTTTTCTCCATTTAGTTCTTCGTGTCTACCAGACAAACTCTATACGTCTGTATCTTGGATATTACCTATTAGAATCCATCTTTTAGGTCTCGTAAGTCTCAGATTATTCAGATGAAATGAAAATAACAAATATCTAGACCTAACATCAGGCGGGCACGTCGGAGGCGCAAATTCATTACTGCATGTGAGATACCCTTCAGATTTTTATCTATTCGGTGACTTGACTATGATTGACAATCCGAAAACGGCAACAGCTATTTTGATGTCCATTGTTGCCACTCTATTTTATCTATTCACTCTTCTCTATACTACATTCCAAATGAGAAGATGGTAGGTGGTGCTGCCTCTGATGGAATTTTATTTATTTATTTATTTATTTTTAGAATAACATACATTTCAACATACTATATTAATAGTAATATAATTTTTTTTAATGAAAACATTATCAAAAGAGTGTCCATGATCATGTAATGTTTTTGTTTCTTTCACTAACTAACTAAAATCAATTTTCTCATTGAGTATAATTCACATAATAATAATAATGTTATTTACAGCAAAACTGTCAAATACATACAGGGACTCTAGTTGTGACCATACATATTTTTGACAAAAATAATTTGAAATTTCAATAACTGCTCTCATTACATATTGAGATTACACAGGATGTTCGACAAAAAACAATATATCACCGAAGTTTCACCTTATCAACTTTTCACGTTTCTTGTCACATTTTGCGAATATCCTGTATGTCAATATTAAACGAAATTTTTCGACATGACAATAGATAGCACATTTTTTTGTTTATCAACTAGATTTTTCATGTGCAAAAACAATATAATTCCTATTTGCACAAATTACACCTATTAGGTATAATAATTGTTATTATTATTGTAAAGTCGAATAAATGTTATTATGAATCTTCTCTCTAATACAAATATTTTTGGAACACAAAATGCCCATAGATTGGGAAGTGTGAAGGGGTTATTGCTCTCTCCTCCCGCGCTAATGAATTAATTTTGGGAGTGTTCATTTTCAAAGTGAGCCTGATCTTGGTCTCTATCTCTATAAAATTTGCACAAAAGTTATAATATTCAATGCACAATTTCCGTTCTATCAGTTTTTCAAGCTTTGATCTGAAACTGAGAAGTATCATCAAAATGTGCATCCAGTGTTATTTTTGATTCACGATTATCTGATCCCAATTTTTTGGTTCTACATACATTCAATAGGGTTCATGTGGAACCAGATTTTTAGTGACAAATTTTCATGTATTCTAATGAAAATCAATTCTGTTGATCTCCAAAATAGCAAAAACTCAAAGTAGGTGTAGCAGATTTTGAGTTATATCAATGCAGTAGAAACGTGGTAGAATCCCGTCTTGTTAGGGTACAATATTGTTATTTTGCAAAAAGTATTATTTTTCCATGCCAATCTCATATTGTGATTACCAAAGGTTCATGTGCAATACAATATAGTTGTACGTATTGTGCTGTATTTTTGCTACATTCTGTTGCCCTTGTAACTAGACTAATATATGAGATCTATGTTATCAATAAATTTTATGTACAAAACATAACTTCGATTCAATTATATCTCCCACTATCCTATTTAAATTCGAGGATTGAACCGATGAAACCTTTTTTCGTATCTAAACATTTTCCAACCTTTTTCAAAATGGTAAATGGCGTCAGAAAAATTATTTTTCTCACAAAGTTACAATGTTCTCAATTCATATTCTGAAAGAATAGCTAGTGATTCTAAAGTTGGCCATTTTGCATTCATATTAAAACCAATAGGCCTTTTCATTTAGATGACAAATGACAGTGGCGGCCATTTCCATCGAAACACTTACACCACAGCACCACTCTCCTCAGTAACGAATAAGTAACGTTTTTTGGAATTATATTATTATAATACAATTAAATACACACCAGGAATATAGAAAACAAAAATACTATGTTGTTATTGTTGTTTCTCAATGAGGAATTGAGGAATGCCCATGGTGGTTGACACTGTTGACATTCGACAGAAAGTTCAATATAATACCCGCCATATTCCATATGGCCAATCAGCATTTTGTTTTGGAACTATAGCCAATGAGGCTTCACCTTCACATTACCCATTAAACTTTTGGATCTAAAAACGAGCGCATGCGTCTTAAAAATATATCTAGATGAAAAGGCCCATTTAAAGTAAAACCAGGCCGACTTGATTTTTATTACGGTGGGGCCAGTTGATATTTATTTAAGATGATAGCTCTCTCTCAGCATATGGGAGAAATGGTAACTAAATTTTTCTCACGCCATATCCGCCATTTTGAGAAGGGTTGAAAAATGTGTAGATATGAACAAATATACCTCACATACTTTTCTATGGATAATTCCACGGAAAATATTCCTCAGAAATCTCTGCTGTAATTCCATCACTACCAATACCAGTCAGACGAATTCTACAGGCCCAGTAAGCACATCCCTCCGTCGTCAACCTTGAAAAATGTCGAACACTCCAAAACTCGTTCGTCTCTATAGAACGGCGAAGCTTTGTAATTCTTTGCAATGGGAGTATTTATAACTTCCAAAAGTTCGAAAAAATTCCAACACTTACCTCCTCTCCCTGTCCTCCGATGTTCCACGAACATTATAGAAATTTCCTTTCGTGCACTCGCAAGAGATTTAAAAAAAGTTTGAATCATAATTCAGACTGTCCAAACTTTTTTGATGTGCTGTATACGGCAGTAGGTAAAGTATTCGCGGGAATCAATGTTACCAGGTGGCGCTCGGTTTTCATCGTTCCATGTCAAAGCCACGTCAAAACTGGGGGAAAACAAACTCAATCTTCACTCAATCCCATAAGTGCCATTAGAGTAGAGTAGTTTATTTGACCATGTTATATATCTATGGCAAGTCACAATTAAGAACATGTTTCTGAAGAACAATATTAAGTATTGAAAAAGTAAAATACCAAGTAAATAATCAAATAAAGAAAAATAATTAATATTAAAAAAGTTTTCACATTTCTTGACATTAATTGTCAATATTCTATCGAAAACGCTACTGTTGTGGATGTTCTTTTGGCAGATATTTTGATCTATTTAGATGGAAAAAGCCGACCAGTAGTGGAAGGAGAAGCAGTTCTCCGTGCTTATCATATGATTTTGTATGAGGCAGAAGACTTCAACAAAGGGCACATTTCTGCACTGTCTTCGGCGATGAAATCTTTCCCACATGAAGTAAAATTGAAGTTGGGGTCCAGAGGAACTCCTGTAGAACAATGGATTTGTATTTGTTCATGCAAAGCAGGACAATCGGGGTATTGTAAACATGTTGTAGTTGTTCTTTTATATGTCAATTGCTTTGCTCGTCATAATTAGTTTGAATAGGCCTTTCCATTTAGATGACAAATGCCTATCTCTGTTTACATCTCACATCCAACGACAGTGGCGGCCATTTTTACCGAAACACTTTACACCATAGTACCACACTCCTCAGAAACGAGCAAGTAAGTTTTTTGGAATTAAATTATCATAATACAATTAATACACACCAGGAATATAAAAACAAAAATACTATGCTGTTATTGTTGTTTCTCTATGACGAATGCCCATGGTGGTTGACACTGTTGACATTTGACAGAACGTTAATAATAACCGCCATATTCGAAATGGCCAATCAGCAATTTGTGTTGGAACTATAGCCAATGAGACTTCACCTTTGCATTACCCAATGAATAATTGTTGGATCTAAAAACGAGCGCATGCGTCTAAAAATTATATCTAGATGAAAAGGCCTATTGTTTGAACTATTCTTCACCCGGTCACTGTTCACTAAACTAATAAAAATGTAATAATGTAAAAAAATTAACCAACTCAACCATCAGCATACCAACAGTGCCAACACTTTATGTCATTGACAAGTTTGACTACAGCTACAGCAAGCTGAATGCAATGTAGTCTATGCACTTTATCCATAGACAACAGTTTGTTTTCCCCCAGTTTGAAGTTCGTACTATGTAACCTAGATGTCGCCCACTTCGTGAATCTCGCGAATAGTACGTAAAGCGTGTTGTAAAGCAATTACGCACTCATGGAATTACGTGCGTAATATGCTTCTTACAACACATATCAGGTAATATTATACTCTTAATGGATGCAAGGAATAATTTTCCAGAAAAAAAATGTGTAACCAAACAGAATTTCAAACTGTGCGTATATTAACCTAATAACATTTCCTGACAACTTATTCCTATGCTTTCTTATTTTTATCAGAAACAGTGTATTTGTCATAGGTCTTGGTGGGATCATAAGGCTCCCATCTGCTTGCAGGAAAAATATGTTTATTCCTCTCATACCAACTGCGCAGCAAAACTTTTCCTGCATGAGACTCCTCTTTCTCCACGGAAGCGTCGTTCACTAGTCTGATATCATCGTGGACGTCAAATTGGAATAGGGGTCCACTCTTGCCCCTAGCCTAAAGAACGCGCAAATTGATATTTTGTTTCCTGTGTTATCAATCACTAAGATCCTTGATTATTTACACTTACAACATGAACCATCCTTATGAGAGCAATGAAGCCAGAAATTCTATTCCATAGTAGCACGACTAGCACTAGAGTATCATCATCATCATCAAATATGCTTTATTGTTAGAAGAAATAGTTCTTATCGACAAAGTCATTGTATAGGTATCACAAAGTAAAATATTAAGAATGTTAAAAATATTAAAAATATTGAAAATATTAGAAACATTAAAAAAATTAAAACATTAAAAACATCAAGAACGTTATGGTACAAATACAGACAATATAATAAAATGTGCAGATGAAGCGTATTTTAATGCTAACATAAGGGTTCACTACTAAAAAATTCCTCCACTTTGTAAAAAGGATGAGTGGATAGCAATTCTTTTAATTTTATTTTAAACAATCTACATGATTGAATTTCTCGTAGATGTATTGGTAAGCAATTATAAATTTTTAGTCCATTATAAATGAAAGATTCCTTAACAAGATTGTTTTTAGGTAGTGGTAGAGGTAATCTCAATTTGTGCGATGATCGCGTATTATGGTTAGACGACACTATATTATATTTGTGACGATTCTTGTGTATTAAGCAAGTGGTTTCTAAGATGAAAATTGAAGTAACAGTGAGGATTCTATTATTTTTGAAAAGGTCGCGGCAAGAAATACGCGTTTTTACTTTACAAAGAACCCTAATGGCTCTTTTTTGTACAACTTGCACCATATGTAACAGTTGTTTGTTGCACACTCCCCAGAAAGCAATGCCGTAGGTTAGGTGAGATTCAATAAGAGCAAAATAAGCTGTTTTAGCAGTTGTAAAGTCCAATTCCCGTGATATTATCCTAATTGCGTAGCATCCGGTTGATAATTGTTTGCACAATTTCGTGACATGGTCGCTAAACTTCAACTTATTATCAATGTGGAATCCTAGAAATTTTGTGGAGGAAACATTAGTTTTAGAAAAACCATTGGACAAGTCAAAATACACGAAAAATTCAAATAAACATTTTCATAACTAACAATAAGGTAAATGACTGAAATAGAATAGGAACAATACATCCATGGCTAATTTCAAAGAGATGAAAAAAACGCACCAACTGTATATGGGATAATTTCAAAGAGGATATTTTTTATTTTATATACATTATGGAGTGGACTTATGATGAATTATTGGCATTCAATTAATCCACTGTGTCGTTATTGTTGCAACACTTCTGACACTGTTTTTATGTACCGGGTGTACCACTAAGAAAGAACGCCGTCTATATCTCGGAAACTATTTGCCGCACAGGTTTCGGAAAAAAATATTCATGATAAAAGTGGCCAAGAAAAATCTCTGGAAATTATTTTCAAGTTTCCAGGACAGCCGCTAGAGGGCATAATTGCATTGGCCAACTTAAAAACGGTTTTTTTTTATGAAAATTTGATATATCAAGACATATCAGAAACACTTTTTCCACGTTCTCGAGTAGATTTACAATCATTTGGATCAAAAAAATTGCGCTAGCTCCTTAAATAAAAGAGGGGGGGAAGGATGAATATTAGTCTGGAAAAAATCTTATTACTACAGTTTGGTGTAACGGAATTAAGCGATCTTGGTCTCATTATGAAGGCTTTCTTCAGATCTTCGCGATAAATCACGAATCAAGTCGATTTGAATCCCGTGGTGGCCGCTAGATGGCATCGTTTGAAAAATCAGCCGATTTGCCATTTTTTTTCGAGAATTTCGAATGGAACCATATATTTTTTCTGCTATGATATGAAAGTTGAGTAAACGAGAAGAAAAATGGTGGGAAACCGCGAGTTGATACCTCTTGAAGTACCGGAGAAATACTGGGAATAATATTAAAATTTAAACTGTTAGCATGTCAAATGCCTCCTCATTCGTTATCGGCATTTTGACAAATAAGCAATCCACAATGGAACTTCAAATATATTTTGACGTTTCTTTCATTCAAAGCCAACTTGCCTTTTCTCATTCCTGAGCCTATACCGAAAAATTCTAAAAAAATATGAAATTGAAAGGCATTTGAGTTATGATTCCATTTAAGAAATAAAAAAATTAGTCCAATAGCCTAGACACACAGAGACAATCGTGTGGTAGGCAAATGAAAGCTGTTCCTGGTATTATAATTGTAGATATGATTATTTCTTGAGAAATTATCTTCATTCTTGTGTACAAAAACTAGAATTTCCATGTTATAGGGTCTGCTGAAGGTAAATATTTTGAACTTCATGAACAGGTTCCCTCATGACTAGCATTTATCCTGATAATTCGTTTTTGTGTTCAAAAAAGACATCATGAATTTCCCCAGACAATGAGTCCATGGCTGAGCCTGGATTGAATTTCTCTAAAAAAATATAGGAATAGACCTGAATTGTCAAGAATTCGTCTCAGGTTTCTCAACAAAGAACAAATTTTGTTAATATTTCTATTGAGTAAGAGGGCAGTGTCTGTGAGCGGGAGAACTACTTTTTATGGTGTAGGAAGAAATCGGTAATGCAGAATACATTGGAAGTTTGTTTTTGAATGCTTCTTTCTACTCACCTAACTAAAATGGCATTTAGCTTACTGATAATATGTACATTTGTGTGCATAAACAAGTACACAAATCATACATATTTTGCAGAGTTTCATGAAGGTGGATCATCCTGTTAGTGTGAATAATCAAAGATGAAATGTTACCTTAGTCACGATGAAATCGTAAAAAGTGTAATGATGCGGAAGAATAAGGTCTTCTTTCACATACATGAGTTGGTCGGCCATCACTGTTTTCAGTTCAGAAAATTCCTTTCTCAACAGTTCCAGTACTTTTTGCAGAAACTGGTATATGGAATTGCCTGAAATATTGTCTAAAATGAAGCTGGAACACTGAACACTTCTAGTTCCCAAGTATTGATGTATGATTTCTAACCTCAAAAAAACTACAGGGTGCAACATTTTTTAGGAAACTTATTCTGGTAATTTTGCACTTATCATGGGATGGTTTTTTTTTCGAAAATTTCTTTTGGTACTCACGTATTTTTGTCTGAAAAACACGAATTTGATAATGAAAATGTGAACAAACCACTATTTCAAGAAAAAAGTTCAAAATTTTGCCTTCTTTTTCCCCTTGTTTTGGAAGCATTTACAGGTACTTGCTCTCTTTATTTTACCATTGGGCACTTTATATACTCATGATGTACTTCAATGACACTTTTCAACAGGAAATCCAAATATGAGATGTCAAATATCATTATTTCAAATGATATTCTTCCTTCTTTTCACTAAACATGGATGAATCACAAGAAAATCATATTTCTAGTTGACTCATATGATAAAAAAATGTGTCCAACATTGTGTGATATATATAAATTGTCCAATGATGGAAAAAGAAGGGCAAATTGTTTTAAATTCCATCCAGAAGACAGGCAGAAAAGAAGGTGAAATTTGTAACTTTATAGTGAAATATCTTGATAAATAATAATTTGTTCACATTTTCATTATCAAATTCGTATTTTTCATACAAAAATACGTAAGTACCAAAAAAAAATTTGGAGAAAAAACCATCACATGATAAGTGCAATATTACCCTAATTTTCTGCAGAAGTAATTTCGAAAAGAAAATATTTTCAACACAACATTAAAAAAAAATCAGGTCTATCAGAAGCATGGTGAATAGCTCAGTTGAAATGTTGCCCCAGAAATGTAGAAAAACATATTTCTTGCCCATGTTCCAGGGTTCGAATTTTGAATCAAACTATAGGAGTTCAATATGGCATTTCCAAGGAAATTTTCAATAATGTAGTTGAATTAACAAGAATTATTAGATAATCCAGTCATTAATGTTGTACTTCATTGAATAATGGAATATAAATAATAGTTATTATCATGAAATTCTCATCAGGATAATCAGTAGAAACATTTTGGAAATAATTAAATAGGTAAGGAATGTATTGAAGTTCCAAGTTTTTATAAATCAGTAAAATGTATCAAAGATTGGAGAGTTATTGATTCTAAAGAGAAGTTTTCATTAATATTCATAAAAAAATTAAGTGTGAAATTCAATCAAATATTATTTTGTTTGTTTTAGAAAAGTCATATCAATTTTTGGAAGTAGACAGTTTTTGGAGTAGGGCACATTGTTAGTTGTTTCAACATTTCAAGTCGAAATTTCAAAATGGCGACTTCAATATGGCGGACGAATTTCTCATTTTCTCATCAGATTTACTTGAAAATATATATTTGTGGGGTTTTGAGGCTGAGCAAAAAGAATTTTTTGTCAAAAATCTCAAATTTTTTATGGTGCCTTCAAAATGGCATACAGTTTAGTCATTTTCACATCTATTCTGATTCACATGTAAATGTATGAGGGGAAGTTTGAAGGTTGAGGAATACAGATTCAAATTCAAAAAACAAAAATTCAAGATGACCCCTTCATGAAAAATATTATTTTCAGTCAAAATCAGGAATTTAAGGAGTCATTATTTTGAAGGTATGGAAAGACAAATATTTGGTTGAAAATTTAAAAATTGAAGATGTTGCATTGACAATTGCAGTGATGAGTTTGTCATATTTTGTCAGATTCAAATTGAAAATGTATTTGGTGGTTGTCAATGTAGGTGGCTAAGACTTTTGAGTGAAAATATGAAATTCTAGAATATTTTTGACAATGTTACAGGAATTAATAATTCAAAAATTTGTTGATGGTACCTAGGTCTATGTAAGAATATATTTTCCTGAAGTTTTCCTAAGTATTTTGCACTAACCTTTTTTTACCCTTACTGTTCTTCTGTGTCCTGACCCATCCCAGTAACTGAAAGTAATATCCATTACTTCCTCCTTCAATTTCTGTTGCTGCTCAGCCCATTGTTGTCTCAATTCCTCTCTGAGTCTATTTTCTTCTTCTTCTCTTTCTCTGTCAGGTAAGAAACTGGTATCAACATTGGGATCTTTTTTAATTTTCTTCATATTTGATTTCTCAACTTCCTCAAAGGGGCGTTTGAAACTTTCTGATCCAGAGTCTTCACTATCTTCATTGTCTTCTTCCAGTGAAAATGACAAAGCTTGAATCTAGGACAGGAACTATCATTTATTATTGTAATCTGCAGCAACTGACATGAATAGGTATAAAAATGGTTCTGAAATTCACCTGCATCTTCTGCTTGTTTTTTTCTGCTTGTTTTGCTTCAAGTTGTCTCTGCTTTTCACGTTCTTTCTCTGCTTGCTTCTGTGCCAACTTTTTTTCTCTTTCTTTGACAATGTTTTCTTGCTTTGCTTTCATTTCATCTAGGGTAACAAGACCTATTGTTGAGCTCTAAAAATCAGAGGGGGATACTGATAGGACCCAGTTTTTGTGAAAGACAGTTACCTTCAGTTGTTGTTCCACAGCATCATAATGGGTGGCAAATTTGGTTTCAATGTTGTTCAGTTTCAACTCTTCCTCAATTTTCTTCTTTCGAAGTTCCATATCTTGCATTTCTTTTTCTCGTTTTTTCATTAGCTGCATAGCTCTGCCTGCCTCGCTAGCAGCACCTTTGTAATGGGCCATATTTTATTATATATGCCTACAGGCTTCAGATTTCAGAAATGAAATTGAGTTTTCCCAGCACCTAATGAAAGATTATGATTAGATATTAGATAATAATAGCAAGTATAGAAACTTTAACATACAAATCACTTTTTTGAATAAGAACAAAACAAGAAAATCGTGCAACTTTGGACAGGTAAATAACCCAAAATAAAAATTCAAGTCAATGTCACATGTCATTATTATGTCAACAGTCAGATAATTACCAAAGATCTCTACCCCATCTACCCTCAGACGAATAAAACTTACCCAAAGTACAACCTGGTACAACTAAATAACGTCTGTAACTGTGTCCGTGTCCCTTTCTTATAAAAATAAGAAGAAGAAGAAGAAGAGCTGTAATGACATTTGACACGCTGGTATTCTATTTTTGAAACACAAAACACAACAAAAGAAGAAGAAGAAGATTTCTGTGAATTTTAATTTCCTCTTCAAAATCAAAACAAAGTTTGTTCACATACATTTTTATTTGCTCAAAGTGAAGAATTTAAAGAGATATGGCTGGTGTATTATTCGAAGATATATTCAATGTTAAAGATATTGATCCCGAAGGAAAAAAATTCGACAGAGGTGAGTCCATTTCATTAAATTTTTATCGATTCCGATTATGATTAGATGTACTTTCAGGTACTTTTAACATTAGATTACAACAACATATATTTGTGAGTAACAAGTAAAATATGCATTTGAACTGATTGTCTAGCATCTAAAGCTTTCAGCACGAAGTGAAGTGAAACAAATGCTTGTAAACTCATCCTCAAATTCTCAATTTTCTTTCATACCTATCATGGAATGAAAAAAATTGTAGATGCCATTTTTTGGCAATTTTTTCAATGCGACATCGTGCGAAAATCGCCCGTGCCCAGATATCAATCTATAATTTGTATTGGGACTCTAAAGACCAATCATTCCAGGAGTATCATCGTCATAACTTATTTGTAACATTTCAATTTCCTGCTATTTCTTCTGCGTTGTTTCTGCTTTCCATCGATTTGGCAGGACAGAGACGAGCCAAAGACATGCACACACATACACATGCGCTTGCTTGCACTCATTTTCTCCCGGACAGCCTCTGGTGCAAATTGCATTTTCTTCTTTTTCTCTCATTCCGTTCTCCATCCTTCTGACTTTCTGGCAACTCCCAACTGTCCCAATGTTTTTCCGATCTTGAAATGGAGCTGGTTACAACGGATCTCTCTTTTATGTCGTTTATTGGCACTGGAATTAAAGGGGTAAAATTTTGGTAAAAGAATGATTTCCTAATCCCATACTGTTATTTTGATTAATCTGTATTCTGATGGCAATTGAACAGTTGATGTTAACAGCCCCCGTCCGTTAAGATAATGGTGGAATTGTTTAACAGTCGTCGGCAGTTAACTGTTCCAATTCAACACTATGTTGGGATTTTTCTTTCCTCGGAATCAAAATGTACCTATTCTTTCAGCGGGATTACGAAAAGTCTTGAACTTGTTACAAAAATAACGGATTCGGTTGTTATAATCCTCGGCTGCGCCTCGGATTCGAATATTATTGAACCTCATCCTTTATTTGCTACATATCGGCCTTGTAACGTTATAAAAACTATAATGGAAATCTCTTGACGCATCAAAATCAGAAGATGGAATAGAATCTCACTATATAGCATGGAGTTTTTTTTAAAGAGGTGATCGATAGTCGGAATTTTTTCCATTTCTATGGAGAGTCAACTTTTTGAAGGTTTTCTAAAAAACTGGAAATGGATTCACCTAATTTACTTAAAATCTCGAAAGATAGGTATACGCCTTCTGTGATGGGACTTCAATAAATTACCGAGGAAATATTAAACTGAAAACAAATGTTGATGAATTTTCCCGATTGCTAAAAATATTTTAATTGAATAAATTTTATGTACTACAACCTAGATGAATTCTTCAACTCATTGATATGTAATTTTTTTCTCTCCTTCAATCTCTGTATATTTAAATATGTTATATTTATATTTTTGTGACGATTCAAAGAAAACTACATCTACAATTTCATTAGTTATTGACCACCCCGTAGAGTTCTCGACCATTAATGTTGATTCTCGACCACCGTCCACCAGATTGATTCACAAGTACATCAAATTATTGAAAAACACCTGACAGTAAATATCATGACGCAAACATCATTCTATACTCAGGCAGATTCCTAGAAATTAAAGACCTAGAAAATACTTATTTTCAAACATAGGAACCTAATCGCCATTGTCCCTGTCATTGTTTTCGTTTCCTAAAAAAGCTATGAACAATAAAAATCAACATAAATCAAATTTATGAATTTGTGCACCTGCAAAAGGTACTTCGTGGTAAAATATGGTAAATATTTGAATGTTAAAGTTATTTTATACTCAGACATAAGAGAGATTATCAGATATGATATGGTCCAGAACAAAAATTTAGTTCAGAGTGGTTCTCGACCACAGTGGTCGAGATCTGAATATGGTCAAATTGGTTTTCGAATTGCAGAAGAATTATTATTTAGGACTTATTTGATGGTCGCAAAGATTTGTAAATGAATCAGTATTTAGATATAAACATTTGAACTGTTATTTCAACATATTCGAATTTGGCGCTAATTTATGTCAATATTCTGTTTGATTGTTGTACGACAGATGACATCATGTCATCTGTCATAAGTCATGTATTGAATAAAAAGGGAGGAAGATCGCTCTCGCGCTCTTTCTCGATCGAACCTTGTACCAGCAAAGTTGGAATAAATGAAATTTGGATTAGTTGGAAAATTTGAGTTTCATTTGGAAGAAATAGTGGCTATCCTTGAGATAAACTATATTAAATCTCACCATTTAAAAAGCTCTTACAGAACTTAATTTTTCAAACAAAGCATATAATATATAACTAAGATTCAAAATATGCTTTGGTTCTCGACCACTTTGGTCTAGAAATAAAGGACTATTTTTGTAAAACCGATTCGCGACCACCGAAAATTTAACGTCAAAATAATATTTATGTCTGTTTCCTCAAATGCAAATGCCAGAACGATCGAAAACCAGTGCCGGTCGTTTAACCAGTGCATCCTACGCTAGGTATCGAAAAATGTTCGAATATTCTTGGCATGTCTGAATAATACGGAAGAATACGGTGTCACCCAGTATATACGCTACCACTCCAGCATGCTGTCTCACTCTGTTGCACGTCCACCATATCTCCATCTTCCTCTTTTTCTGGAACGATTTCCATCTCCGTCTAGCATCCGCCTGCCTCTCGATCGATCCAGCTGGCAGCACCGTGGAAACAAACGACGGTCAAGGTCACAGGGTCTAGGTCGCCAAGGGAGCGAGAAGGGAGTAGCTCGGTTGCGCTTATTAGCCTCCCATCAATCTCCCCTCTCTGCCATCTCCCTTGCTGGGTTTCGTGTTTTTCGACGTTTCGGACGATACCAGAGCACATCTTTGGCACTTTGGCGGTGTTGTTGTCTCTCTCACTGATTTCCTTCTAATTACTCCATAGTAGCCCATACCTGAAAACAAAATTCAATAAACAACATTTTTCTGCAACCGACACAAAAGTCGTCCATTTTGATACCAAAATTAGCTCTTAAATTGACGTTTCTATTACTGACACAAAAATAGGTATGTTGCTAGGCAACATATTTAGTTCCTAGGAGCTAAAGTTGAATTTCAGTTCCTAGGAGCTAAAGTTGAACTTTAGCTCCTAGGAACTAAAAAGGATGTACTGAAAGTCGCCAAGAATAAACAACATTGTGACGGTTGGTTATTTGGGTTAAGACGCATACCTTGTTTTTAAATAATCACGGCAAGCAATATTGTTTTTGTCTCAAACAACGATATTGTTTAGCTTCATTTGATTATCAAGTCAAACACAGTGTGGTATTAATTATTAGGGATGAGATACATTTTTTGCATATGTATGTTCGAAAGCATGAGGAACAATGATATGAAGTTCGATTTTTTGCAAAGCTCTGGAATTCATTGCCTGAGGAAGTATTTCCGAGAATTAATAATCTCCTATAGTTAAAAAAAATCCTCCCTAGGTACGCACGACTTTTTTCGAACATCATAGGGATTCTCTTTCGTGCGCACCAAGCGATAAAAAAGCGAGACACGCTGTATTTATATCATCCAGTATCATCTCAATTTTTTTCTGGTATCTCCGGATTTTCCGTTGAGCTGGCAACGCCGCGAACTAGCCGCCGCACGATTCGTCGTTGATGCGGCGGTGGGGGAATTGCGCATTCGGACCGCCGCCGGGCCCCCCTCGTGCCCCACCCCCCTTGACCGGTAATTTGTCGTCATAGAGAAGGAATCGAACATTCGAACATCGAACATATTTATTTTCATCTCGCAGTAGGTCGATTCGGGTGGTCTTTTCGAGCAAAGATGAGAAAAAACACAATTAAAATCGTCCGAAATGGCGAGCAGGAAAAGTGTGGTTCCTACCCTGCGACGTTCTTTTGTTGGTAAAATGGTTGCTGCGATGGGATGGATGCCTAGAGTGCCATGCCAAAAGGTGTTTTTTCGTCGTTATGGCAGCCGTGAACTTGTCAAGGTGAGTACAGTACCTACTTGATGCGTACGGTTGTTGTCGGTTCGATTCGCACGCGATTGTTTATTATGTTTGCGAATTTGCTTCTGTTTTCTTGCCTAGCTAGCTAGCTTGTGTCGGTTTTTGTACATTCGTCGATTTTCGGGGTAGGGTGGAAGGATAGGCGAATTTGTTTTTCATTTCTTGAACAACTGAGATTTTGGCAACAAATCAAGAGATACCTACCTACCCTACCTAGTCTACAACTCACTTGGTATAGGTAATGATATATTGTTTTGGTTTTGGCCGCACTTGGGGTGACTCCAAAGTATGGTTCTTCTGGTGCTATGAACTCAGATTCGGTTCCGTGTTTTGCCACTAGACTCATACAGGTCAGAATTATTTTTCCTGATGGCCCCAAAAATCCCAAAAAATTCATAAATCAGATCCATGAAGAAAGAATTCGATATCAGATTTAGTATAGAGAACTATCCCTAGATTTTCAAAATTAGATGTTCACGCAATACCTTTCCCGCTGGAATTCCTTGATGGAATTCCCTGGAATACCCTGGATTTCCTTGGACTTCCTTGGATTTTCTTGGAATTTCTTGGATTTTTTTGGAATTCCTTGGATTTCCTAGGAATTCCTTGGGTTTCCTTGGAATTCCTTGGATTTCCTTGGAATTTCTTGGATTTCCTTAGAATTTCCTAGAATTCTTTGGGTGAAGTGCGGTATATTCTTGATGGTCTATGAACAACTGGAATTCCTTGGATTTCCTTGAAATTAATTGGAATTCTTTGGATTTCCTTGGTTGAAGTGCGGTATGATTCTGGTGATACAAACAACTGGAATTCAATGGATTCTCTTGGAATTCCTTGGATATCCTTGGATTTCCTTGTGGAATTGAGGTTTGGTGTAAACAATTTTGACCGCGGTTTACCTACATCAGGAAAAAATTTGTTTTTTCTCCAAGCGGCAGGGAAAGTGGTTTTTCTTGGACACCTATAACAAGCAGGAAAGTTGTACTTTTTCTGCCTAGACAGGAA